TGCAGATTACAGATTGAGGTTTGATTTGAATAAATAGCCTTTGGCGCCTGATTGGACTTGATGCTTTCTTTAAAGTCGTCGGCTGGATTAGGGAGTCCATCTTTGGTGCCACCGACCAAAGCAGGTGGACAAGTTACCAACCTGTGTTAGAGCTGAAGGCCTCCATGAAAGAAGTATAAGAAAAAAACTGAAGAAAGTCAGGTCAGGAACAACCTGCCTGCAGATGAGCTGAAGAACATCCAGTCTGATACATAGATATACATACATTAGATGTTTAATTGTCTCTTGCAATCAGCAGCAGCGATATGCAACCTGTGGAAACATCCGGACAGTTCTTGTTCTGCTCCCTGACTTGTCCCTCCTTCAGTCACTCGTTTGGATACGACAGCCGTCGCAGGTCCAACCTGAAGCTGCTGGACGAGTCCACGCTGATGTTCATAGCAGGGAACCTGCTGGTCCTGCTGGACGTTTCCACCAGGAAGCAGAGATACCTGCGCTCCTTCAGCGGAGGAGGAATCGGCGCCATGGCGGTGAGGAAACGGACGCTTACAGACATGTTTCTATATTAGCAGCGTAAAAACAAATTTTTCCTATGTTTTGGTGTTAAAAGGTGCACCCGACCAGAAAGTTCTTCTGTGTGGCAGAAAAAGGAGCCCAGCCCGACATTGTGGTCTATGAATATCCCTCACTAAGACCTTACCGCCTCCTCAGAGGTGAACCTCTCTGTTATTTCTCTCTCTTCTTTCTTTCCAACTGTCTGAAGCTCAGGCTGCAGTTTTTTCTGCCTTCAGGTGGAACAGAGAGCGAGTACAAGTCTGTGGACTTTAACCTGGATGGGAGCCTGTTGGCCAGCGCGGGCGGGGCCCCGGACCACAGGCTGACTCTGTGGAAATGGAGGCAGGAGAAGGTGATGCTGGTCTCAGAGGCCATGTTCCAGGAGGTCTACAGGGTCAGCTTTTCCCCGTACAACCCGGCTCTGCTCGTCTCGTCTGGATCCGGGCACATCAAGTAAACCGCAGAGTGATTGATTCCTCTTTTGTCTATTCAATGAAGCTAAAAACAGATTTTATACA